TCTGTCACTGATGGACATTTGGGTTGATTCCAAGTCTTTGCTATTGTGAATAGTGCTGCAATAAACATACATGTGCGTGTGTCTTTATAGTAGCATGACTTATAATCCTTTGGGTATATCCCCAGTAATGGGATGGCTGGGTCAAATGGTATTTCTAGTTCTAGATCCTTGAGGAATCGCCACAGTTTTCCACAATGGTTGAACTAGTTTACAGTTCCACCAACAGTGTAAAAGTGTTCCTATTTCTCCACATCCTCTCCAGCACCTGTTGTTTCCTGACTTTTTAATGATTGCCATTCTAACTGGTGTGAGATGGTATCTCAGTGTGGTTTTGATTTGCATTTCTCTGATGGTGGGTGATGATGAGCATTTTTTCATGTGTCTGTTGGCTGTATGAATGTCTTCTTTTGAGAAGTGTCTGTTCATATCCTTTGCCCATGGTGGGGTTGTTTGATGGGGTTGTTTGTTTTTTTCTTGTAAATTTGATTGAGTTCTTTATAGGTTCTGGATATTAGCCCTTTGTCAGATGAGTAGATTGCAAAAATTTTCTCCCATTCTGTAAGTTGCCTGTTCACTCTGATGGTAGTTTCTTTTGCTGTGCAGAAGCTCTTTAATTTAATTAGGTCCCATTTGTCAATTTTGGCTTTTGTTGCCATTGCTTTTGGTGTTTTAGACATGAAGTCCTTGCCCATGCCTATGTCCTGAATGGTATTACCTAGGTTTTCTTCTAGGATTTTTATGGTTTTAGGTCTAACATTTAAGTCTCTAATCCAACTTGAATTAATTTTCGTATAAGGAGTAAGGAAAGGATCCAGTTTCAGCTTTCTACTTATGGCTAGCCAATTTTCCCAGCACCATTTATTACATAGGGAATCCTTTCCCCATTTCTTGTTTTTGTCAGGTTTGTCAAAGATCAGATGGCTGTAGATGTGTGGTATTATTTCTGAGGGTTCTGTTCTGTTCCATTGGTCTATATCTCTGTTTTGGTGCCAGTACCTTGCTGTTTTGGTTACTGTAGCCTTGTAGTATAGTTTGGAGTCAGGTAGCGTGATGCCTCCAGCTTTGTTCTTTTGGCTGAGGATTGTCTTGGCAATGTGGGGTCTTTTTTGGTCCCATATGAACTTTAAAGCAGTTTTTTCCAATTCTGTGAAGAAAGTCATTGGTATCTTAATGGGGATGGCATTGAATCTATAAATTACCTTGGGCAGTATGGCCATTTTCACAATATTGATTCTTCCTATTCATGAGCATGGTATGTTCTTCCATTTGTTTATGTCCTCTTTTATTTCACTGAGCAGTGGTTTGTAGTTCTCCTTGAAGAGGTCCTTTACATCCCTTGTAAGTTGGATTCCTAAGTATTTTATTCTCTTTGAAGCTATTGTGAATGGGAGTTCATTCGTGATTTGGCTCTCTGTTTATCTGTTCCTGGTGTATAAGAATGCTTGTGATTTTTGCACATTAATTTTGTATCCTGAAACTTTGCTGAAGTTGCTTATCAGCTGAAGGAGATTTGGGGCTGAGACAATGGGGTTTTCTAAATATACAATCATGTCATCTGCAAACAGGGACAATTTGACTTCTTCTTTTCCTAACTGAATACCCTTGATTTTTTTCTCTTGCCTGATTGCCCTCGCCAGAACTTCCAACACTATGTTGAATAGGAGTGTTGAGAGAGGGCATTCCTGTCTTGTTCCACTTTTCAAAGGGAATGCTTCCAGTTTTTGCCCATTCAGTATGATATTGGCTGTGGGTTTGTCATAAATAGCTCTTATTATTTTGAGATATGTTCCATCAATACCGAATTTATTGAGAGTTTTTAGCATGAAGGGCTGTTGAATTTTGTCAAAGGCCTTTTCTGCATCTATTGAGATAATCATGTGGTTTTTGTCTTTTGTTCTGTTTATATGCTGGATTACATTTATTGATTTGCGTATGTTGAACCAGCCTTGCATTCCAGGGATGAAGCCCACTTGATCATGGTGGATAAGCTTTTTGATGTGCTGCTGGATTCAGTTTGCCAGTATTTCATTGAGGATTTTTGCATCGATGTTCATCAAGGGTATTGGTCTAAAATTCTCTTTTTTTGTTGTATCTCTGTCAGGCTTTGGTATCAGGATGATGTTGGCCTCATAAAATGAGTTAGGGAGGATTCCCTCTTTTCCTATTGATTGGAATAGTTTCAGAAGGAATGGTACCAACTCCTCCTTGTACCTCTGGTAGAATTCAGCTGTGAATCCATCTGGTCCTGGACTTTTTTTGGTTGGTAGGCTATTAATTATTGCCTCAATTTCAGAGCCTGCTAGTAGTCTATTCAGGGATTCAAGTTCTTCCTGGTTTAGTCTTGGGAGAGTGTAAGTGTCCAGGAAATTATTCATTTCTTCTAGGCTTTCTAGTTTATTTGCATAGAGGTGTTTATAGTATTCTCTGATGGTAGTTTGTATTTCCGGGGGGTGGGTGGTGATATCCCCTTTATCATTTTTTATTGTGTCTATTTGATTCTTCTCTGTTTTCTTCTTTATTAGTCTTGCTCACGGTCTATCAATTTTGTTGATCTTTTCAAAAAACCAACTCCTGGATTCATTGATTTTTTGGAGGGTTTTTTGTGTCTCCATCTCCTTCAGTTCTGCTCTGATCTTAGTTATTTCTTGCCTTCTGCTAGCTTTGAATATGTTTGCTTTTGCTTCTCTAGTTCTTTTAATTGTGGTGTTAGGGTGTCAATTTTAGATCTTTTCTGCTTTCTCTTGTGGGCATTTAGTGCTATAAATTTCCCTCTACACACTGCTTTAAATGTGTTCCAGAGTTTCTGGTATGTTGTTTCTTTGTTCTCATTGGTTTCAAAGAACATCTTTATTTCTGCCTTCATTTCGTGATGTACCCAGTAGTCATTCAGGAGCAGGTTGTTCAGTTTCCATGTAGTTGAGTGGTTTTGATTGAGTTTCTTAGTCCTGAGTTCTAGTTTGATTGCACTGTGGTCTTTCCCTCACCACTTTGCCTTCATCTTACGGATGAGTAAGGAAGGACTGAAAGGAAAACGAACTGTGTCTGCCCTACCTTCCCCTTTCCTTCTGTGTCATCATTTCAGCATAGGTGGTTGCCTTGTAGAGGGAAATAATACAAGCGGGAAGGATGTAATAGGATTCCGTGATCATTCCTGTTTCTTAGAACAAGGCTAATTTCTTTCTGAACTTGAAGCAAGTTCTGGTTCCAAGGCATGGCCTCTTGGGGCTGTGCATGCCCCTGCTTCTTTAAGTCATAGGCTTAAATACTTACCTTGTACTCACTTTGATTCTTGCTAAATTCCTACATGTCATGAGTTCAACAGAATTCTGTCTTTGTGGGGCATGACTAATGCTCTGTGAAGGTTGGTGGTAAGGATGGGGGATGCACACACTGTATGTTTCTTATCCACTCACATCTGTGCCCCATTGTCCCATCAGACTTCCCTTACAGAACAGAAGTTCAAAATAAAATTATTAAGACTTTCTATATTTTTCTTTTTCTTTCTTTCTTTCTTTTTTTTTTTTTTTTTTGAGATGGAGTCTTGCTCTTATCGCCTAGGCTGGAGTGCAGTGGTGCGGCCTCAGCTTACTGCAACCTCCACCTCCCAGGTTCAAGTGACTCTCCTGCTATAGCTTCCCAGGTCACTGGGATTACAGGTACCCGCCATCACGCCTGGCTACTTTTGTATTTTTAGTAGAGACGGAGTTTCACCATGTTGGCCAGACTGGTCTTGAACTCCTAACCTCACGTCATCCCCTTTCCTTGGCTTCCCACTTTCAAGATGGAGACATTAAGCCAAAGGCATTCAACTAAGCATGGAGTCCTTCTGAGTGTGAGGTCCTACTAAGCACAGGCTGCAGGCACATGGAGCCAGGCATGTGTCTGTGTTTGTATGTGTATATGTATGCTGACTGCTTTATATTTTGATGAGGAAGGGCTGTCTCATGAGGTGACATTTGATCAGAGACCTCAAGGAGGCGAGGAAGCAAGACTTGCAGATACCTAGTACAGGAGCAACATGATCAGGGGTCCTAAGGCACAGGTGTCTTTGGCTTATTCTTAGAATAGTAAGGAGGACACTGTGCCTGGACCCCTACTTGAGAGGATGGGGATGGGGGATGAAATCAGAGAGGCAGTAGGTCCCTGAATCATGTGTGATCTCAAAGGCCAAGGTAAGAACTTGGAATTTTTCCATGAGGAGATGGGAAGACATAGGAGGGTTTGAGCAGAGGTGGCATGGCACAGTTAGGTTTTAGAAGGATCTCTCTGATGACCGTATAGCAAATCTCTGTATAGGGACAAAGTGGGAAGTGATGGGAACAGTTTGGATGTCATTATCATAGACCAAGAAAAGGTGGTCTTAGACTGGGTGGTATGGATAGCAGTAATTGAATCTGGTTGGATTCTGAGCGTCTTTCACAACAAGAGCCAACAGAAGTTGCATATGAAATGAATATTTACCTAGGGTCCTGGCCTGAGACAGCAGATAAAAATGGTCTAGTGTAAAGTAGTGAATTTCCTAAGATTCTACAGCATGAATGAGCTTGGGAAGGCAGAGAACAGAAGTCTTGTGTACTTTTTCATCTGTTATCCTTCCACAATGTCTTGACTTTTCCCAAAATAACCCCTGTAACATCTGCTTCCAAACATCTTGTGTAGCTGAAGCTACATGGATTCCATTGCCACAATTTCATCTGTATACATTACCTTGGAAGAACTTCTCAGAACATAATGTCCTGGGTGAGGTGACTTTACCACTAAGTCAAGTTTCTGTGGACTCTGCTTAGGAATTGACTGTCTCCACAGTTTCATTTGAATGACGTCCTGAGGTCCTGAGAAGACACAGTTCCCCCTCCTCTGTTTTACTAAGTATCTCTTCGCTTCCTGTAATAGAACGGAGTCAATAAAACAAACAAGTTGCTATTGGGTTTAATGTACAATTGCAGGACATATAAGTCTAAGTGATTAAACTACATGTGGCTTATTTGTCTTCTTTTCAGCACTTTCAGACCATGCTGAAGTCTAAATTGAATGTCCTAACACTGAAAAAGGAACCTCTCCCAGCGGTCATCTTCCATGAACCAGAGGCCATTGAGCTGTGCACGACCACACCGCTGATGAAGACAAGGACTCACAGTGGCTGCAAGGTATGGGGCACGTGGCCAGCATGGGTTCTCTTGGTGAGAGAGCCTCAAGGATGTGTGGGCTTGAGACTTGTGTTTCACAATGGTAATCATTTTTAAGAATGAAAACATAAAATGACCAACAAAATAAACTCACAAATGATGGTAGACTGAATTCATATCCTGTTTTATTTTTCTTAATGACATAACACTACCACTTTTGGACACCCGTTAAAGACCTGGGTTTTAGTATATGTGAATAAAATTGTATTCTCTCTGTGATTTCTGTAGCTCTGTGGAACTTTGGAGTTCACAAGGAAAGTTTTGTTCTTAATGATAATTCTTCCCTTTGTTCTTTCAATCTGAATAAAACATATCTTAAAGAATGGGGAAAAAAAACACAAAAAATCAAGTTTTCTAACAGTTATACTCTCCAAATCCTTTAGGGATAATGTTGCATTTTTGCTTTGCTTCATTTCTCAAAATTTATACTAATATTCATGGCTCAGAATCCAGAAAAAGCATTTTTCATTTATGCAAACTTTAATGCCAACATGGAAACAAAACTAGAATATAATTTTGGTAAGCTTTGGATTTTTTCTCACATAATATTCTCTTTTGCTTGAGTTGATGAATATAGTAATCAATTTAGAGATCACAAAGAATATATTTTATCATCAGAAATTTCTTTTGAGTAGTGGAAATAAAATAAGGGACAAGGAAAATGCATTTATATATGGATTTCTTTCATAACTTTGTAGATACACTCCTTTCTTTGTTGCTTTCCTTATTGCTTTCGAGATACACTCCTTTTCCTTATTACTTAGTGTTAAGGAATCAGTTCTCACATAGCTGTGGTCAGGTTGGCATCTACGGCAATCTTGGGTGATGGTGGTATGCACAAAACCTCACCCACATTCATTCATTCCACACATATTCATTGGGTGCTCACTGTCTGACCGGCACAGAGTCACAGTGTGGGCAAAACCCACCAGCATCTTTGTGGGATTTAACTGCTAGCTGGGGGGGCATGGGAGGAGAAAATCGAGGTAAACAAGCATGATTAACGAGAGATCCAATTTGTGAAGAACTTGCAGGAGAATCTTTCAGGCAAAAGAATAGGGCATACTAATTCTATGAGGTGGGTGGTCTTGGTATATTTGGGAACAGCAGGGAATGGGCCAGTATACCTGAGAAATTGAGAAAGTCATGATGAGTGGTGGCGCTGGGTAGGGAAAGAGTCTTGTGGTCATGGTGAGTTTAGGTTTAATTCTAATTACGATGGGGGGTGGAATCATCGGTGGGATAAGGGAAGTGAGCTATGTGACTCATTTTGAAGTGATCTTAAATGGTAATTCTGATAAGGTGACTTTCCAACTTCCCAGGAGCTATTGTCAGTGGCTCTGCCTTAACAGGAGAGAGCGAATCAACAGAACTGGCATTAGGTCCATTGCATTTAATGCTTTTGGTGAATTGGTGATAGAAGGGAATTATAAAAGTACTCATTAAATTTGAAAGTGATCTGAGATCAAATTCGTTATACATTCTTCAGAAGATTTATTAATGCTATTTTGATTTCTGTTCCTATGAGAGAAGATGGTGCCTCAAAGCAAGATGAAATCAGTAGGGACAAGTATGTGGAGGAGAATTAAGTGTAATAAAGCCTATAAAGTACATTTAAAATGGGAAGAGCAAAAACTACACAGTTTTAAAATAAAAATACCTAGCAATCTGACAATCTAATTTATATATTAAATAAATGTGTGTGTGTTTGTGAGAGAAAAATATTTGCTAGAATAAAAACCATCATTTTTCTGAAAAGGATTATAGGGTTCATGTCTCATGGACTAATTTTTTCTGTGTACTGCCTTAGGTTGTGCTCATTTATTTTACTTTTAAAAGGACGTTGGAAAAAAAATAGTAGGAATTCAGAAGAGTGTGCCAAAGAGGGCAAGGGTTGCTTGTGCTGGCCTCGGTATGTGTGGCTAGCTAGACAAAGGAAATAGGCAATGATTTCATTTGGACACCAGGAAGAACTTCTGCATTCAAGGAGAAAAACACATTCCACTCGACTATAAAAAATTTATGGACTCTCCATCCCTAGAAACCTTGAAGAGGTGATTCCAGGCATAGATAATCATAACCCTGGAGTCAGGAATCTGGGCCAACACCTCTTGAGGGCTTTTCCAGCATTATTGTTCTATCTGAAGGAAGAACCTGCAACGTGTAATTCTCCAAATTGTAGACTATCAACAGAATACACTTAAGTTTTAACTGGAAATGTACTGGTGTTTTATTCTTTAATTCTCAAGGACAGTGTCACTTTTGTGTTCTGAGTTTTGTTAAAAAAAAGTATCTGTTTGAACCTTGAAATTTTGGTTTAAAATCCTTTTAGATCTTCCCCAATTTTTTCTGATCATCTTCAAGAACAAAGTCCAGTGTTTCCTCTCTGATTCTTGCAAGTAACTTAGCTCACAAAATGCCAGCTGCAGAAGGAACGCTCTCTCGGGCTCACGCCTCCCGGGATAATGAACGCAATGTAGCCCAGGCCCAGCTGCAGGGCCAGCTCATGGGACCCTCGGCCTTCACACAGTAGTTGCTCTTTTTCCCTAATAGCTCTTATAACTTTAGGTTTGGGGAAGGAAAGAGGTAGGAGGAAGCAAAGGAAAGGGGAGTTGAAAATGGGTTATGGCGAGCACCATTGAGACCCTAGCTCATCTCAGATTTCCCATTTTCCACTGATCTGTATTCTCCGTGGGTGCTGACGGGAGTGCCTTGCTAGGCTATTCATGTTTCGGGCAGCTGGGTCTTTGTGTGTTCTCCTCTATTGCAGCCACTTTTTTTTTTTTTTCCTGGAGTAGAGTTATTTAACTGTACAACCCACTGCAGTGCATGAGGACTCTTGTTGGAGCTGTTTGGAGTATCAGACGCTGTGTGTGATTTTGCTGCAGCAATCCTGGCTTGTCACACCTTTCTCCTCCTATCTAGCAAGATGGAATCCTAGGTGGCTTCAGCTTGTTAGCAAACATTTATTGAATTCATAGTCATTGAAAGCCTACTGTGTACATGGTATTGTGGAAAAAGGAATAAAAATAGGTATTGTGGGGGATGCAATGTATAACCAAATAGAAGGAATAAGACAAGTGCCCAAATAAATAAATCACAAGTACTTCTGAAACTTGTGTGAGTATCAGAATCCCCTGGCAAGCAAACTCCTGTACCTTCTTCCCGGAGATTTTGACTCAGATGCTCGGCTTAGTGGTGAGGAACTCCTAGGAGCCTGCACTTTCAATTATAACATGTAATTTACATGAAGGCGAACCATGTTTGGAGGTTGAAGTTCTGAGCTGCAGAGTCATGTGACAAGAGCAATGTAAGTGACATGAAAAGACACGTAACCTGGAGGTGGGGAGTAGGATGGAAAATGGGATTTGGTGGATTTGCTATCGCAGTCCAGAAAGCTGGCTTCTAAGGAAGAACTGGGCTCTGGAATTACTGGATCAGATGTCAGCACTGTGTGTGCCGCCTTATCCTCCAGCGAGAGCTGCCCTCCTTTGCATTGAGACTTGCAGCTCCATTCACTGAAGTTCTCAAAGCCTTCACAAAATACTGATAATAATGATGACCATAGTAATAAAAAATCGAAATAGAAGTCTTAATAATACAGAACTGACACTAAAGAACACGTGTGGATTAATGCATTAAGTGGTCATCTATGTGCTTTTCATGGCATAGAGCCATTTCATCCTCATGGCAACCCAACGGTGTAAGTGCCAGGTGTAGCCTCGTTTCACAGATGAACTAGTTGAGGCAGAGAGAAGTTCATCTCAGTGTCCCAGCGTCCCTCGTTAGTAACTAGCAGAGCCCGGATTTGAGCTGCAGCATTCTGACTCCACAGCCTGTGCTCCCCCCACCGGATTCCACTGCCACTGAGTGGGTTCCGTGTCTGTCCACAGGTGTCTCTCAAAACAGGCGAGCCAGTTGTGTCATGGGATTTTGAGCAAGCTGTTTCTTTTCTGCAGGGCTGCTTTTGCACCTTTCATAGGTCAATATCAGGATCTCATGGACATTATAAAAAAATTTAAAAAAGAATTTAAGGGCTAGTTGATTTGGCAGGTGAGTTGTTACACACTCCTTAGTGGATTCTGAGTTTCGTGCCTACCAACCCATCCTGCTGTCTTTCTTCCAAATGTCCAAGGCTGGAGGATTTACCTTGTTTAATTGGATTGGAATTTTATCTTTTCTTACAGAAACCAGAAAGCATAAGGAAAATACTAAAAATATCACGTAATTTTACCCAGATATACCACACAGATTCTCACATTTAGTTTTCTTAAGAAAAAGGCAATCTACAATGAAAAGTCATATGCCTTGTAAAAATTATATGTGTAGATATATAACCAACGCAAAATGCCCACTGAGTTCCTATATGGCCGTGTGGATGCTGTACAATACCCATTCCACAGTGCTTATACTGTTAAAGCAAAATAGCAGCAATGTTGTCACAAACAAACTGATGCATAATTGGGGATTTAGCACATAACATATGTCTTTTATTTAAAATGTTTTATAAAGTTTGTGATTGCTGCTAATTTCTGAGCATGAGAATTTCTCTGAGTTGCAAAAGGGAAGTAACCTAGAAGAGAAATACCAAGGGGAGGTGTGTGTGTAGGAACAGGAAAAGCAGGATCATTAGCAGTTGTTGACATGGGTCTCCTGTTTGGGACTGAATCTGTCTGCCTTGATTGGGAGAGTCCCTGGCTGTCTTTCCACTACATCCTTTTCATCTGGCTGGTGGGGCAGTGTCTGAGGTCAGCCCTGAGGGTTGGCTTCAGGGGGAGGCTTCTCTTGGCCCCTGAGGCAACCTTGGATGTCAGTGGTGAGCAGGCTGATTTAGCATGGTCTCTTTTCTTTTCTTCTTTTCTTTTCTTTCCTTTTCTTTTCTTTTCCTTCCTTTTCTTCTCTTCTCTTTTCTTTCTTTTCTTTACTTCTTTCTTTCTATCTCTCTCTCTTCTTTTTTTTTT